ATAATAGTGTGTGTGTGGGGGGGCATTTAGGAACTGGAGGAAAGTTGTATTTTTCATCATTGGTACATCGCACCCTGACTTGCTCGTCTCCTCCCCGAGACCCTTCTGTAAGGGGATGTCCAGTGGCCTACAAATGGGCTTTGGGTCTCCACTCTGCAATTCCCCCCTCATTCACTATGGTAAGATTTTTTTGTTCTGCAAATTTCTTATCATGATTGGCATATAGTCTCCCATGTCTTCCTAGTATACTGTTCCATGCCCTTCTAGATTTAACCTAACGTGCCTTGGTAGTGCTGTGGGCTAGTCGTTGGTCTACTAATTGCAAGATTGGCAGTTCAAAACCACTAGCCACTCCTTGGGAGAAAAATGAGGCTGTCTGCTCTCATAAAGATACACAGCCCTGGAAGCCCTCTGTAAGGTCACACTGAGTTGGAATCAACTCAGTGGCAGTAGGTTGTCTGTTCCAGGCTTGTTGAGTTACTCTCTGAACTCTTTCCTGCCCTTCCTGCTCTCAGTCCTCTTCCCCACCCCCTCTGTTCCCCTGGCATTACCTCATTTGCTCAGTGCACTCCTGGTGAAGCCACCCCATGCATGCGCTCCTCCTGGTGGACCAGTTGTGAGTTCAAACTGACCCCGCCACTGGGTGAAAGATCTGCTTCCATGAAGATGCAGGCAGGACAGCCCTGAGGCAGTTCTGCTCTGTCACATGGGGTCACTCAGTGTACCCAATAACAACGTGCTAGCCTATGTGTCTCTAATACGGCATCCATATGATTTTTATATTCAGTATCCTTTTTCTTCTTTTTTTTTAAAATTTTCTTTCCAGGTATAATGCATACGACAAAGGGCACGTGCACACTCACACACACAAATAACTAAATGAATAGATAGATAGGTGGCATCCATCTTAATGTGTAAATTAATGAATTTTTGAAAAGCCACCTTGGAAGCCACTACAACCTTCCTAATGGTTCTCAACCTTCCTAATGCCGCGACCCTTTCATACAGTTCCTCATGTTGTGGTGACCCCAACCATAAAATTATTTTCATTGCTATTTCGTGACTGTAATTTTGCTACTGTTATGAATCGGATGCCCCCTGTGAAAGGGTCATTCGACCCCCAAAGTGGTCTCGACCCACAGGTTGAGAACCACTGTACCACATAATCAAGATCTGAGGTATTTGCAACATCCCAGCAAGTCCCTCAGGCTCCCTCCTGGTCGTTCCCTCCTCCAAAGATAACCACATTCTAACCTCAGTTACCCTGAGCTCTGGTGGTGTAGTGCTCAATGCACTGAGCTGCCAACTGCAAAGTCAGCAGTTCAAACCCATCAGTCTCTCAGTGGGAGAAAGGCGAGGCTGTCCACTTCCGTAAAGCGTTAAGAGTCTTGGAAACCCACGGAGCAGATCTACCCTGTCCTATGGGTCACTATGAGCCACAATAGACTCAGTGATAATGAGTTTGGTTTGAGGTTGGTGGCCTTTTTGGGTAAGCATCAGACTGCTAACTGCAAAATTGGCAGTTCAAACCCACCAGCCACTCCACGGGAGAAAGGGGAGGCTATCTGTGCCCATGAAGGTTTACAGCCTTGGAAACCATATATAGGGTTGATCGGAAGCAGAGTCGACTTGATGGCACTGCGTTTGGTTTTTGGTTTATCACCATAAATTTGGCCTGATTTTGAATTTTGAATGAGAGAGCTTCCTGGGCTCCAGAGAGAGCTCCTGGGGCCCCGGGAGCCGGAGAGAGCCTATATTGCTGACCCACACCTATGTACCTTTTGGGGGCGTGCATGCCCACTAATTACAAGTAAAGACATACGTCACAGAAAGGGGTTACACTATAGGTTACACAGTAATGAGGGGGTGGTCTAGGGACATACACGCAATAGGAAGAGGAGGAATTGGGGGGTATACATGTGACAAGATGGGCGGATCCTAGATTTAGGATGGCAGCTTAATTTTGACCTGTTCCTGGGTCTCCATAGGAACCATTATCAGTAGAGTGTAAACTCCTACAGGAGCCTGTCCATTGTCCCCAGCGACAGGGAATAGTGCCCACTGCAGTTCGGCAACTGATCGCCCTCAGGGGAGATGTCTGCTAGCATCTACCTCCCCCCACAGGTAGTCATTTGGATGGCTGTATCATGGCAGCTCATTGTGGTTTTAGTTGTTTGGGGTTTTTTTGTATTTTTTTAATAACCAAAACCCTGAGCACCTTTGCAGATGCTTATTGGACATTTGGACAGCCTATTTTGAGAGCTGCAGGTTCAAACATTTTGCCCGTTTTTAAATTTGATTGCAATATTCTTATTGATGTGTAGGAATTCTTTAGATATTCTGGATATAAGATCTGTGTCAGATATAGGTACGCACCCTCTCCTGATTGTAACTTGCTTTTTCAGACTCCTTAATCTCTTGACGATCATATTCTTAATGTTAATGAAGTCTCATAAATTATAACTTACGGGTGTTTTATAATCTGTGCTTCTTGTGCTTTATTTAAGATATACTTCTGTACCCCAAGGTCCTAAAGAGATTCCCTATTTTTTCTTCCGGAAGTTATTACTTCGCCTTTCACAATTAATTCTGTGACATAAGTTCCCAAGCTTATTTGGCTTACTGCCCCGTCTGGGGGGTGTGGGGGGATGTTACTCAGTGTTCCCCACCTCTCGAAACTAGAAACTTTTGTGCTCTGCTTTTGCAGTCCCACTGGTCCCTCCAGTGCCCCTTGTGGAGCAGTTAGCACCCACATTAGCAAACACTGCTATGATCTCACAATAGCTTTGATATATGATGTGAAGTGTTGATCGGAGTTTTTGTTTTTTTTACTATGGAGAGTCAATTGTTCGTGATAAAAATGCAGCAAACCAGGGATAGAGAGTAACTTTCTTCATTTGATAGCAGGTAGTCACCAAAAAATCCTAGGGTGTCAGTAATGAGATAGCTTTTCCCGCTGAGGATGGGCACAGGATGAAGACGCTGCCCATCCCGCGTCTTTCAACACTGTGTGGAAGTTCTAGACCGCAGGGTAAATTCTGCTTTAATAGCCCTCTGCGACCATAACCAAATATCACTCTGCAGAGCTTGAGAGAACAGCAGTGTATTTCCTTACCATTCTAGGGGGTGTTCCAGTTTAATCCAGAACATAAGGCAAGAAAAAGAAATAAAAGATTGGAAAGCCAGGAGTAAGACTGTCATTATAACTTGATTGTTTGCAGAATTTGAACTATAAACTTAGTAAAGTCCCTGCGTACATATCTATATACAGACTCAGTGATGCTTTACATATATATAATAATTAAAAACCATCAGATACCCTGAACTAAAATTAAAATAATGTTCCAGACCAGTCTACTGAAAACTATAAAACATTCCTGAGAGAAATAAAAGAATACTTAAATAAATGCAGCAGGATACATAACTGTGACAGGTGACATAACTACAGTCCCTGAGTTACTGATGAAATCTGTTCCTAAGTGTGTTTTTAACGCAAATTGGCAAGGCCAGTCAAACAGGTGTATATAGTCCTTATGTGGCCTGACTTTATTGCAAGAAAAGAGGCCCTGCTGATTTAATGGGTTACGTGTTGGGCTGCTAGCCCAAAGGTCAGCAGTTCTACTCCATCAGTTGCTCCTCAGAAGAAAGATGAGGCTTTTTGCTCCCCTAAAAATATACAGCCTTGGACGCCCCAAGGGACAGGGTCACTACGAATCGAGTGCTCTTAATGGCAGTGACCTGGGTTTAGTGCAAGAAAAGGCTCAAAGCCCTTTGGATGACATAAAAGCTGCACGGGCAGGAGGAGGTGACGAAGAAGGGTTTGCTGTGAACAGGGTGGCATAGTGGGGTCACAGGTTGGGCTGCTGGCCACCGGGGCTCCATGGGAGGAGGGCGAGGCTGTCTCCTGGCACTGAGATTCGCCGTCTGGGGTCGTGGAGGGGCACCATGAGCTAGAACTGGCTCTTTGAGACGTTAGTTCCATTCTTTCGAGTGAGGGCAAACGTCCAGGAAGACGGTAGCGTTCACGGAGCGTGGGCACAAAGATGGCTGCCAGCCGCGCGCTTTGGAATAGCCTGCCAGCACTTTTTGTTCTTTAAAAAAATATTTTTTAATCATTTTATTGGGAGCTCTGACGGTATCATATCATAAAGTTCAACCACATCAAACAGTAATGTGCAGTTGCTACCACAATCAGTTCCAATACATTTTCTTGAGCTCCTTGATAGCAGCTCCCCTCTCCACCTTGCCCCCCAGGAACCCTTATTTTTTTCCCCCGATAATGTTTTTCTTGTTGTTTGCTTGTTTGTCATGTCTTGTGCGATCCAGTCTATCCATTCTGCCAGTACTCATTTCTAGTCATCCATGTTATCAGTCAGAGGCGTGGTCTTTACCATGTGGCCCCTAATGCGTAGAGTCAAAAGGTCCAACTTTCGCTCATCAGAATTAGGTTAGAAGAGAGATGGATCGCCCTACCAATGCCTTGTTAGTTTGTGCCAGAAACCCACTGGTGGAAATTAAATTAGAAGAAACCAAATTAATCTCCAGGCTGCAAACGAGCAGGAAATGACATTCCGTAACCATTCTCAGTGTAGTGATGGAGCAGCCAACTTCATGGGGACAGAATCACGACCACCCTTTCTAGCTTCCTGCACGGAGCCCATAGTTCCTCTAAACCAGTGTTCATCGGGGCAGCTTGCCATGAGATGATGTTGCTCGACTTTCTCTGATTAGCCTGTGCTCCACTATCTACAGCCACATCAGACCAGGCTACGTTCATTTTTAAAATTCAATCTCACAGCAGCCTTTTTACCTTGTCATCAAATGGGCACACTAACGTATCCAGTGATATATATATATATATATATATATATATATATATATACACATATATATATAAATCATGAAATGTGTGTGTATATATGAGAGAGAGAGATGAAATGTGGACCTCAAACTAAAGATGGACCATATATATATATATATATCTCATGAAATGTGTGTGTATATATGAGAGAGAGAGATGAAATGTGGACCTCAAACTAAAGATGGACCTCAAACTAAAGATGAAATGTGGACCTCTCAAACTAAAAGTGTCGCAACGTGTAAGGCAGGTTTTAGCTCAGCCTCATTTTGACCTGAGCTGAGCGCCGAGTGGGGAGCTGCGTGGAGACGGGAGCGCCTGAGCTGTGTACGTTCTTCTGCTATGTTCTCGAGTTCTTTCTTCTCAGGCAGATTTCAGGCAGACAACTTGAACAAGCTGAAGAACCTCTGCAGCAAGACAATTGGAGACAAAATGAAGGTAAGAACTTGGTACCAGTCGGTTTAGAGCTCCGGTTATTTGATTGTGTCCTTAAACTAACATGCACGTCATTTCTACGTGCGTGTTTAATTCTGCGAAGTACTGGACTTCCTGTGGGGAAAGGACTGTATTAAAGGACTAGAAAGGAAAGAAGTCGGGGTACTGTCAGGTTGGTGAGGCCATCTGCTGCCCTTCAGATAAGATGTAGGGAGTTCAAGTTCTGCCTGGCCCAGCGGTTCTTAACTTGTGGGTCAAGACCACTTTGGGGGTCAAACGACCCTTTCACAGGGGTCACCTGATTCATAACAGTAGCAAAATTACAGTTATGAGGTAGCAATGAAAATAATTTTGTGGTTGAGGGTAGCGACCACATGAGGAACTGTAGTAAAGGGTCACGGCATTAGGAAGGTTGAGAACCACTGCCCCTTGCCCCTTTGGCTCTGTGACTTTAACCAAGCCGACTTTGGAGGCTCCTATCTATTAATTGGCAATGCGAAAACTTAACTCACCCACTGCCATAGCCAAAACCACACACACACACACACACACACACACACACACACACACACACAGAGTGAGCCCAAAAGCCCCATGCTGTCAAGCCATTTCAGACTCTTGGCCACCTGTGGTGATTCACTTAAGGTATAAACCAAAAATCAAACTCCCTGCCATCCAGCCCATTTGACTGGGAGGGAACTTATGGGCCCGAGTAGAACTGCCCCTGTGGATTTCTGAGACTGTAACTTATTATGGGAGCCAGAGCCTCATCTTTCTCCTGCACTTGAGGTATAAACCAAACCCACTGCCCCCTGCCTCCGAAGGACCCTACAGGACAGGTGCAGGTGAGTTTCTGAGACTGCAACGCTCTACGGGAGTAGATAACCTCATCTCTCTCCTACAGAGCGGCTCGTGATTTTGAACTACTGACCTTAAGGTTAGCAGCCCAATGTGTAGCCACTATGCAGCCAGGGTTCTACACTTTAAATATATTACCCCCTCCTATCCCCTGCCCCCACCCCCCAAATATCAAGGCCGTTCTGAGTCAAGAGATGGCCATACTGGAGCACTGGGCGGGTTTGAATTGTCGGCTTTTTGGTTGTCAGTTGAGCACTTACATGATAAGCCCCTAGGACTCCTAGTGCAGCATAGAATCATGAGAACTGGGCACGGGGCCCAGAACCCTTTAGTTACTCAGCAGTCATGTGTAACAATAAATGGCCTTCGTCCAAAAACCCTTCGGATACCCAAAGACTGAAAATTCAGTTCAGTTTTTGACGTGTTATCCTGAATAGTTCATGGCTTTCACTATTCTTCAAAAAATACCCTTTTAGCCTCTTACTCACTTTTTAGGAATATATTTAATACACTGTGCAATCTGTATCATTGATACGTTGTACAGTTTGAAAATTCACAAAAAAGAAAAGCCCCAAATTTGGAGCCTGAATCAGCGAAGAAGAAAACAGAAAAGGTTAGCTTGGGCTTCTGGCAATTTACTCTTCACTCTGCAGCCTGGTCTGCTAGCCTGCATCCTGCTGTTGTATGTGTCGCCCTTGGAGGGATTGATGGCCCTGGCCCTCTCTTCCTAGGGGACCCCTGGTGATTAACCTTTTGCGTTTCACAGGTCTCAGGATTATGTTAATTTCCATGTAAGCTCAGGCCTCTCTGTTAGTCCAGTGGGTGGGTGGCGGTTTTGTTTCTTTTTTTGTAGAAGAAAATGGGAGTGGCTTTTGATTTGTTACCTGTAACACTTAGATCTGGCTCTACTGCTAACTGCAGTAGTCTCACCTGCTCCCTGCCGGAAGTGTAGCACTAGCTCTTGGGTTTGAGGTAGTAGTATATTTCTACATAAGGTAACGGAATAGCTGTAGGGCGTTAAGGGACTGGCCACGCAGGTAAATCGACTGCAGAAGGGGCTGTCAACACGGGGGCAGCCTCAGACTCCTTGCTGCCTGTGCGGATCCCGAGCCTGCTACGACATCATTACACAAACTGAGAGTTCTGCTTTTTCTTCTTCTTGCTGCGGTGTATTTGGGCTGTGCCTGTTTTTATCGACTCGTGCTGCTAGTTCAGGCTGTTCCAGCTTTTTAAGAGGATTGTGCTCACAGTCCCAAGAGAGTGAGTGGGGCTGTGGTTAGAACCCATCACTTTGGTGTTTGAGAATGTACCAGGACGCAGCCTTTTTTGCCTCACTGCCGGGGTTTCTTCACAGGCTGTCCCTCGGGGCTGCTGCTCCCCGTCTCCAGCACCCTCTCTGGATGCCTGTGCGGGACAGTCTGGGGAGGGGGGGGAACCTCCTGACCTTCACAGGCTCATTGGCCTTCACAGGCTCAAGACTGCAAAACAACAACAAACTAGTCATGGCAGAAGAGGGACTAGAAACGTCAGCTTCTGACTTCCGATGTACCAGTTTTTCTCCCCGCCCTCCCATCCTCAGAGAAAAGTGCTGTGTAGCAGGTGCCGTGATTCGTGTGTAGGCTGTATTGATTTGGCGTGCACAGACACAACCGCGTCAGGGGAGTGTCCCTTAGTGTGTTGGTTTTCTTCCTTCCTGCAGAAAAAGGAGCCAGTGGGAGACAATGAGGCTGTCCCGGAGCACGTACTGCACCTCGACGACCTCACGGCGGACACTTTAGCTGTAGGTGACCCTTCGCATCTGGGGCAGGCGCTGGCTAGGCTGGGCTTTCTCTTCTCCTTAGGCTTCCTCTGTGTCTGCAGCTTAAACGTGTCCCTCCCGCTGTGCCCATGCGCTGTCCTGCAGTCTGTGTGAGCCAGGAGAGATGGACTCATTGTAGGAGTAGAAGAAGCCGCCTCTCTCCCCGGAATGCCTGGTGGTTTTGGACTGCACACTTCGTCGTCCACAACCCCATGTGGGACTGCTGTGCCATCAGGGCTCCTTTTCCTTTTAACTCCTGTTTGCTTTTTGAGAGACGGAGTGGAAAAGTCAAGGATAAGAATAGAAGGAGCCAAGCTGTGCTTGGCGTATGTTGTCTTTGTAAAACCCAAACAAAACTCTCCCTGCTAACAAGTCAGTCTGACTCGTGAGAACCCTATAGCACAGGGCAGAACTGCCCCTGTGGGTTTCCTGTAGCTCTTTACGGGAAGAGAAAGCCTCATCTTGCTCCCAAGGAGTGGCTAGCTGGTGGTTTTGAACTGCAAACCTTGCAGTCAGCACAGCATGTAACCACTACCCCACCAGGGCTCCACCTCTGCCTTAGGCACCCAAAGAGAGTGCCAACAAATTTATAGGTTAAGACTGCCTAGACCAGCGGTACTCCACCTGTGGGTCCAGACCCCTTTGGGGGTCGAACGACCCTTTCACAAAGGTGGCTTGATTCATAACAATAGCAAAATGACAATGATGAAGTAGCAACGAAAATAATTTTATGGTGGGGTCACATGAGGAACTGTATGAAAGGGTCGCGGCATGAGGAAGGTTGAGAACCACCGATCTATACCCCTGTGTGGAGTCTCGATTCTCTGAAAGCCTCTTTCCATGTTAAGATGCTCCCCAAAGGGCTGCCCTCCAAGCACGGCAGCAGAGGGGGATCACTCTGCCCTGAAGCCCGGTGTCCGGCCTGTGCTCCACAGAACCTGCAGGTCTCCCAAATCAAAAAGGTCCGGCTGCTTATCGACGATGCCGTCCTGAAGTGTGATGCCGAGCGACTCAAGCTGGAAGCCGAGAGGTTCGAGAGCCTCCGCGAGATCGGGAACCTCCTTCACCCCTCGGTGCCCATCAGCAACGACGAGGTAGGCAGGCGGCGGGCTCTGAGAGGGCGGAGGCCGGAGGAGAGCCGGGGGGATGCTGGCACGCTGTATAACAGGCCTTGTGCCATGGGCAGGCCCTTTGTGCTTGCCCTCTGCCCACCAATTGAGAGCTGAAGGAGTCAGATCCTTGCCCGATTGGGGAGCGGCGGAGACGGCAGGTAGGAGGAGACTCCTGGCATGGCCATCTCTTCTCAATGGGGCTGCTGTCCTCCACGGCGGGTTGCCCCTGGCAGCAGCCAGTCTGCGGGCGGGACCTCTAAATCAGCCCTCCCCCGCGCTCGCTCCCGCTGCGCAGGAGCTGCCCGCACCAAGCTGCTGGGAGCCCGGCCTTTGTTCCCGACGCCCAGCCGTGCAGGGCCCATCTGTGCCTTTCATTCATGCCCCGGGAACGCCGCACTCGCCGCGCCGCGACTCGGGAGGTCAGGGCCCTGAGCCCGCCCTCACGTGGCCCCGCGGCCAATGAGAGCCGGGGGAGAGAGGAAAACCTACATTCTCATCTGCACCCGGGTGATGCCCATTGTCCGCGAAGGTTGCCCTTGTGCAGCCTTTTCAAGAAGGAGCCTTTTCAAGGGACACAAACAAAACAAAACAAAAAACACACAAAGCAAGACAGTGGAAGGAAGCACCAGGTCTCTTGCAAAGTCCCCATTCCAACTTCTAGAATCCTTTCTCAGAGTTGGTAAATGTTTCTCTCTCCAATGACTGTGAATTCCCCAGCCAATTCCCGCCTCGCCTCCACTCGCCGCTCCCAGTGACTAGAACCCCGTGTTTGAGTTACCAGATTGCGACACAGCGAGGTGGCCTTTGGCACGGGTTTGGAGACGTAGAGGTTGTCAACCTATGAAATCCTGTGGCTTTCTCTCCCGGCCCGCGGCCCCATAGGATGCCGACAACAAAGTCGAGAGGATTTGGGGAGACTGCACAGTCCGGAAGAAGTACTCCCACGTGGACCTGGTGGTGATGGTAGATGGCTTCGAAGGCGAAAAGGGCGCAGTGGTGGCCGGGAGCCGGGGGTACTTCCTGAAGGTGAGAGTTGGGGATGTGGGGGTAGAACTACCACATGTTTTTTCAAGTGACCTTCTTCACCTGGCTCTCGGATCCACTGCTTGTCCCTGCTGACCCCGTTACACCGCTGGCTCCGGGCCATGTAGCGCAGTTCTCTTTCTAGCAGAGGAGAATGCCACCCATTGATGCGCCCTGAGATGTACTGACTCAGTCAACCAGGCGTGTCATGGCTGTCCACTGTGCCAACCTTTGTGCTAGGCGTGGGGCAAAAGCGATGACTCAAAGCCAGGCCTCTGCCTCTAAGGAGCTCAATGTAATTAGACAACAAGACAATTGTAATGAAGAGTCCGAATCCGTATGGTAGGTCCAGAGGGCTCTGAGAACAGGCAGGTGGAGGTAAGAAACCCAAGCTTAATTGGGACAGAAAGTGGATGAGTTCAGGGAAGTTTCCAGAAGGACATGATTAATACACATGATGATGTGATAATCTTGGAAATTCTGCACAGATATACTTAGGAATGCAATTGCATATATACAACAGGCCAATGTTCTAAGAATCAGCACAAAAACTCTCCCATGCACCCTGAGTGAATCATCTTCCTCTCTCTGCTTTGGTTTCTTAAAGGGAATTCCCTTTACAAACGGACTGATGGTTTGCTGGGCATGGGTGCTAGGAAGGCACTGTCTGAGCTGAGGGTTACAAGGAACCCAGGGGCCATTCTGGCAGACGCACATTTGGCTGCAGATGGCTCTCACCCACGCAACCTTGTGTCTCTGTTCCTTCAGGGGGTCCTGGTGTTCCTGGAACAGGCACTCATCCAATATGCCCTTCGCACCTTGGGAAGTCGGGGCTACACTCCCATCTACACCCCCTTCTTCATGAGGAAGGAGGTCATGCAGGAAGTGGCGCAGCTCAGCCAGTTTGATGAGGAGCTTTATAAGGTGAGTCGCGGGCCTGTGCAGCAGACTGACTTCAGGGCAGCATTGTTCAACAGCACACTGTATGATGACCAGGATCATCTGTGTCCATGACTATTGAGCACTGAAAAATGAGGACGGTGCTACCGAGAAACTAAATTTTTTCGTTTTAAGTAAATGGCCACCTGTGGCCAGTGGCTACCATTTCGGACACAGATATAGAGCCTATTAATCTGTTTTCAGATAACCTGTGTCACTTATAGAGAGTATATTTTAACATCATGTGCTCAATAAAGAAACTCATTTTTTAGGTGCTTGAGAAAAACAAATTATGGAAGTAGCACTAGGTCGTGTCTTTGTGCCCTTGACCTCAGATTGGAGGCTTCTACAGGGCAAGGTGGACTTGCCTTGGCTCACAGTTTATGTTCCTTCTCAACCCTGGGGGCTGAGGGCTCAAGCCGAGGTTCAGCATGTCACTCTGACACCGACAGTAGCGGTCTAGTCTTGGTCTAGCACTCAGAATTTCAAGAGTGTCCCTGTCAACCGCTGCCCATCACAGCTCAGTCCACATCTCCCTGTCTCTCTCCTACAAGGTTATCTCTCAGAAGTGGGGGCTTTGTTCTTATTGGCTTGTTTCCTTCCTAGACCCACCTGGAAATGGGGTAGACAGCTGTTCTTGGGCGCATGTGATTTATCTTACTTAGTGAGAGAAGTTTAAGAATCAGAGCTTTCCCCCTGTTGACTCCGATGGATGAGTTCAAAGTTGTAGAGCAACAAAATGCTCCCTCCCTAAACCCCAGCATTCATTGTCTTTGTGCCGTCCCTGTCTGCCCTCCTTCTGATGAGGGGAGGGATCGTCCACGCATCAGCTGAAACTCGTTTACCTTCTTTTTCCTGATCTCAACCCCCACGGTTGGATCGTCACTAACAACGCTCAGAAGGATCCAGTGCAGGCAGCACCGGGGCACTGAGGAGTGGGAGAAACACCAGCTGGCCAAGTTCCCTGCACCAGATGAGGTCCCTGCATCTCCATCTCCCATACTCAGATGCTTGAGTTCTCAGGCGGCACAATGACAGGTTGTACCAGTAAGGAATTTGGGCCGTGTATCTGGCCTAATCAATTCTGACTCCCAGTAGTCTTTATAGGGCGGCTCACTGTCTCTATCCCTCAGAGCTCCTGGGTGGGTTTGAACCATCAACCTTGAGGCCAGCAGCAGCCTGGCACCTGGGCTCCTTCTTGTCTAGTGTACACCCCTCAGTTTATTCATTTTCCAGGGCAGCACCATCCAGTAAGACTTCCCAGTGATGCATGTTCTGTCCCTGTGCTACCTAATGCAGTGGCCACCAGCCCCACGTGGCTGCTGAGCACCTGAAATGTGGATAATGCACCTGAAGAACTCATTTTAAAAATTTTATATAGCCCTTATTTAAGATGGGGACCCTGGTGTAGTGGTTGTGCTAACTGCAAGGTCAGCAGTTTGAAATCACTAGCTGCTCTTTGGGAGATAGACAGGGCTTTCTTGGAGTCTTGGAAACTCAGAGACAGTTCTCCCTGTCCTGTTGGGTCGCTGAGTCAGCATCAACTCCATGGCAGTGGGTTTGGGTTTGGATTTATTTAAAGTTAAATAGCCATATGTGCCTAGTGGCGCTTGTCTTAGACGTGTTTAGGATTTTTAGCATAGTTTTAGAATTTTTGTTGTGTTGTATGGGAATAGCTTGGCCAGTGTGCAGTTCCCACTGTCGGGGTCCAAGTCACTTTCCAGGTTCCCAAACCCTGACCCAGAGGAAGCGGGGAGCTCCCCGCTCCCACCCCCTCTTTTTTGATTAAATGAAAATAATGTAACGACACAGAAAATTTGAAGTGTGTTCTCCTAACATAACAGTTGCCATTTTTTCATATATATATCTTTTCCTTGTACTTCTAATCACAATGTGTGAGGGGGCTTTAAAAAGTTTGTAGAAAAATGGAAGTTAAAAAAAAACAATGGAAGAGGAAAGTAAAAGGAAATGGAGGAAAGAACTGGAAGGCAAAGGGCATTTATAGAGGTCGAAATACAGGCATGTACATACGTAGATATATGTACAGTGAACCCTCATTTATCACGGTTAATCGGTTCTAGACCCTACCGTGATAAATGAAATTCCGCGAAGTAGGATTCCTTATTTGTAAATCAAATATTTT